CATCTTACACCTGTCAGAATGGCGAAAATCAAAAACACCAATGATAGCCTTTGCTGGAGAGGTTGTGGAGAAAGGGGTACACTCATCCATTGCTGGTGGGAATGCAAACTTGTGCAACCACTCTGGAAAGCAGTGTGGAGGTTTCTCAGGAAATTCGGGATCAACCTACCCATGGACCCAGCAATACCACTCTTGGGAATATACCCAAGAGAGGCCTTATCATACAACAAAAGTATATGCTCTACTATGTTCATAGCAGCATTGTTTGTAATAGCCAGAACCTGGAAACAACCTAGATGCCCTTCAATTGAAGAATGGATGAAGAAAGTATGGAATATATACATATTAGAGTACTACTCAGCAGTAAAAAACAAGGACTTCTTGAAGTTTGCAGGCAAATGGATGGAAATAGAAAACACTATCCTGAGTGAGGTAAGCCAGACCCAAAAAGAGGAACATGGGATGTACTCACTCATATTTGGTTTCTAGCCATAAATAAAGGACATTGAGCCTATAATTCGGGTTCTTAGAGAAGCTAAATAAGAAGGAGAACCCAAAGAAAAACATATAGGCATCCTCCTGAATATTAACCTTCATCAGGCGATGAAAGGAGACAGAGACAGAGACCCACATTGGAGCACCGGACTGAAATCTCAAGGTCCAAATCAGGAGCAGAAGGAGAGAGAGCACGAGCAAGGAACTCAGGACCGCGAGGGGTGCACCCACACACTGAGACAATGGGGATGTTCTATCGGGAACTCACCAAGGCCAGCTGGCCTGGGTCTGAAAAAGCCTGGGTTAAAACCGGTCTCGCTGAACATAGCGGACAATGAGGACTACTGAGACCTCAAGAACAATGGCAATGGGTTTTTGATCCTACTGCACCTATTGGTTTTGTGGGAGCCTAGGCAGTTTGGATGCTCACCTTACTAGACCTGGATGGAGGTGGGTGGTCCTTGGACTTCCCACAGGGCAGGGAACCCTGATTGCTCTTTGGGCTGACGAGGGAGGGGGACTTGATTGGGGGAGGGGGAGGGAAAGGGGACGCGGCGGTGGGGAAGAGACAGAAATCTTTAATAAATAAATAAATTAATAAAAAAAAGAATTTGAGGTGAGCCAGGGCTACACAACAAAGCACAGTCTCCAAAAAAAAAAAAAGATTTAATCTATTTCCCTAATTACAGATGAGTCATCTTTAAAATAGTCAACAATCTATTATAAAACTTGCCATTGAAAACCATATTTTCTGGCAAGTGATTTTTCATTTAACTGAAATGTTTGGAAGCATGTTTCTTTACAGGATTAAATAATTTAATATAATCTCACCATGTTCTATGTGGAGGGAATTAGCCAAGGGTTAAGCGTGTACATTGAAGCTGGTGCGAAGGGAACCAATGGACAGCAAATGACAGTAGTTGCTTAGCTGTGCTCGCTACACTCCAGACATAAGACCATCCCAGCTTCCAGCCATCAGTATCTATGGTTCCACCAGGAGGCCACCTGAGACCGTTCCGCTTCCACTACCCTCACTAAGGAGGCCCTGCAGGTGAGCAACTTTCATAGTGATTCTTAATCATACCAGTGACTCAAAGTTGCTTTAGTGACTGCACCCATAGTGATGGCAGTCAAGTGTGCATATGCTGCCACTGGCTATAATTGGGACACTTAGAACAAAGACTACGTCAAGGAGACCTTTTGATTACTGTTGTGTTTCCTATTGGTATACTGACACAAATTTGATTCAGTGTCTCCATTTGTGTAATAGTGGTTGTAATATCAGGTTTTGTACCAACTTAAGGTTTGGGCAGCTCGCAAAGCAAGTGTGCACCATAGAGTCAGTTGAAATGTCTATGACTAGAAAGCCATCCACTCAGTGGAGGGACAGCAAACAGTGGGTGAGTTTAAGATTAGTCCTGAACACCATCAATGTGTTGATATAAATTTATAAAGTAGATTCAAAGAGCTAAGTTAGAAACTGTAAAGTCAGAATTATCTAGAGTAAATGGAAATGATAGATAAGAAAGTCTCGCACCCCCGTTCAGATATGTGGCCCCCTGGGGAAGGTCAGCCTCAGCCAGCACTGGTTTGGGCCATGCAGTGCAACAGGGACCCTGCTAGACCTGCTTCCTTCTGCATCTCCACCTTGCAAAGTGGAGAAAAGGAATAGATGAAAGCAAGTAGGCAAAATATGGTGGGTATTTCGGGTGTGTCGAATAGGGAGTGAGATCCCAGCAGTATCAGTGTAGTGCTGATGCTATTTGACACGCTCTATTCAATAGTTATCAATGACTGAAGGACCTGATCTCAGTCATCTTGATACCCCATAGGATTGTCTTTAATTAAACTTCCTTGGAATTCTCTAACATGAACCCAGAAGAATAAATCTGCTAAGGAAGCTGTATTTCTGATGTCCAGCCGCTAGAGGGGAGGAGAGCCCATGCTACTTTTGCTTTGCCACAGTACCGGCCACACTGAGCCCCTGACCCCTGCAGGGCCCATGCCCCTGAATACATTGTTTCGGTGAAACTTTGGCTTTTTGTTTGTTTGTTTTGCTTTTAGCTTTGGGGGGGGGGAGAGGATGGAACCACAGGCTTACATTGTTTGGGGGGGTGGATAAGGTGAATCATTAAATCAGCTAATTCTTAAGAAACACCTCTTTTATAAACATTCAATTCTAAAATGGGACAATTTTGGAGACAATTTTAAAAATGCAACTCATTGTATTTCAAACAAAATATTCTATACAGAAAACCCAAAACAATATCCACTCTAAGTGCAAATGCTCAGGAGCCTGGCTTTTTATTAATGTGACTACTATTTGACAGAATTTTTAAATGACTTTTAAAATACATTTTTTACAAGTTTCTTTCCCTGCCCTCTCAATAAAGCTTTCATTCCAGTAGAATGAAAGATTTGTTTTTTTCTTTGACAAGTTGAAGTAGATTCTGTATGTGCTGCTCTGGTCCCCCAATGGAAAGGATTTAATGTAATATTTCTCTCACAAACACGAGCCTTCTCTTCTGTCCTTCAGCATCTTGATGGTATGTTCCATCTTCGGAAGACTTGGATGTAAGTTTAGCTGGCCTCTTTGACTGGAGACACTTAGAATTACCTTTCTCTAAACATACAAGGGAACAAACTTTTCTTGCTGCAGAATAGAATGATCTAAGAAATATTTTTTTTTCTTCTAGGAAACACACATGTAAGGTTAGAATTCCAGCCTGGTTTTTGGTTTTTGGCTTGGTTTGGGTTTTTTGAGACAGGGTTTCTCTGTGTAGCCTT